AATATTGTGAAGTAGATTAGTCCATTTCAGACCCCCAAACATACACGTACAAACGCACTTACATAAATACACTTACATAATTGGTTGCATTCGGAGGTGATTGTTATGCGGGGGTCCACTGTATTATAATTGTATAAACTCAAAAAAAATTGTGTGGGTTAGAATAAAGGTGGGATGCAAGAAGTTAAAATAAGTGTGTATGAACGTGGGGGGTGGGAGGTGTGTATAGAGAGAGAGATTTGTGGAGATGTTAAATAAAAGTAAATGAATTAAGGAAGGAGACACTTTACAAAAGACATAAGCATATATTGTTGAAAGGTAGGTTAGAGAAAGTGAAGGAAATGAGAAGGACGGGGAGGAGGTATGGAGGTAAGGTTAATAATGTATTGCTAGTACAGTGGAACCTTGGTTTTCGTGATTAATTTGTTCCAAAAAGTCTGACAAAAACTGATTCATACGAAAACTGAAGCAATATTTCCCATAAGAAATAATGTAAATCCAATTAATCAATTCCAGACACCCAAAAATATTAACAAAAACTACATTTTATAGAGAATAAGACTAATGAAATGGATAAACGAACATTTAACCTCACGTTTACCTTCATTGAAGACTCTTGTTGGCATATGGAAGACAGCGAGGAGGGAAGAGGGAGGAGGAGAGGTTATTGTTTGAAAGCGAAATTCCTCTCCATAAGGACTTCAGGTATGAAGGCCCTATCCGGGGTTACTTCCCTTCTTTGTCTTTCACTGGCACTAGGATCAGCTTGAGTCACTGGACCCCTGTTGCATAAAAAATCTGTCCAGAGAGGTCTGTTTCTGGCGTCTCTCTGAGATTTGCCTAAAACGGGACAAGGCATTGTCATTGAACATGTTGCAGACACAGCTTGCAACAGCTTTGTTAGGGTGATATTTCTCCACAAACCTTTGCAACTCATTTGACTTTTGTACTTTGCCACGAGTTCTTTCTTGAATTCTATCGTGTTTTTCACCTTCTTTATCAAAGGGCTGGCACTCAGAAATTTCTTTGGCCCCCTGGTGGCTTATTTAGCAGTCACACTCAATAAACAAGCACAAAAAAAATGGATCATTACAAAATGTTTCGGATGAACACTCGGGGTGATGCTCACTCAATGAGAAACAAAGACAGACTGAGTCACAATGCATGGGATGCTTCGTGTGGGCACGGGCAGGTGGATGTGTTTGGTACAGCAACTCCATGAAAACTGAGCGGATGTACGAAAACTGGGACAAAATTTCGATGAAAAAAGTCGTCGAAAACCAAATCCTACGAAAACCAGGGCATACAAAAACAAAGGTTCCATTGTACATGTAACAGAGGTTTGTAGGTACTATATTCATAGAAAGGTGGGTGCAGGTGAGAAGAGGAATTATAAGGTAAAAATGGTGGAATGGAAGAAAAATAGCATATGAGAGGTTTTTGCAATGTAAAAATGATAGTTGGAAAACAAAGTATCAAGAGAGGAAGGAGGAGGTTAACAGAGTGGTAAGGGAGTGCAAAAGAAGACCCAATGAGAGAATGGGTGAGATTTATCAGCAAATTTTGCTGAGAATAAGAACTGTTGTGGAAAGATAAAAAAGGTGAGGAAGCCTGGAGAGTAAGTGGACTTAGCAGTTAAAACCAACAGACAGGGAATGTTACATGGGGAGGTGGAGGCAATGGAAAGGCATTATAGTTCTATTGAAAGGTTTCTGTATTATTGTAGATGCTGTACATTACTATGCATCAATTGAGAAAAACATGAGTCATGTACAAGTTACTGATAGACACTATGCAAACAGTTGTTATGTCAACACCTGAGACTAAAAGAAATAATGATTAGTTGTCCTTAGTCAGTAGTTGTCTGTGCATGGGGCTTGGCATCAAGCATTCATGATTTCTGATGCTCAACTGTATAAATGACTTATCACTTAGTATAACCTACCATGAAAGGTCAGGCAAACACACTGTAACCATTTTTATCTTTTTCTTCATATTATATTATCATATGTTAAATGTTGATGAAGATAGGGAAGCTGTGATTTCGTGTATAGGGCAAGGAGGAATAACATCTTGTAGGAGTGAGGAAGAGCCAGTTGTGAGTGTGGGGGAAGTTCGTGAGGCAGTAAGTAAAATGAAAGGGAGTAAGGCAGCCGGGATTGATGGGATAAAGACAGAAATGTTAAAAGCAGGTGGGGATATAGTTTTGGAGTGGTTGGTGCAATTATTTAATAAATGTATGGAAGAGGGTAAGGTACCTCGGGATTGGCAGAGAGCATGCATAGTTCCTTTGTATAAAGGCAAAGGGGACAAAAGAGAGTGCAAAAATTATAGGGGGATAAGTCTGTTGAGTATACCTGGTAAAGTGTATGGTAGAGTTATTATTGAAAGAATTAAGAGTAAGACGGAGAGTAGGATAGCAGATGAACAAGGAAGCTTTAGGAAAGGTAGGGGGTGTGTGGACCAGGTGTTTACAGTGAAACATATAAGTGAACAGTATTTAGATAAGGCTAAAGAGGTCTTTGTGGCATTTATAGATTTGGAAAAGGCATATGACAGGGTGGATAGGGGGGCAATGTGGCAGATGTTGCAGGTGTATGGTGTAGGAGGTAGGTTACTGAAAGCAGTGAAGAGTTTTTATGAGGATAGTGAGGCTCAAGTTAGAGTATGTAGGAAAGAGGGAGATTATTTCCCAGTAAAAGTAGGCCTTAGACAAGGGTGTGTGATGTCACCGTGGTTGTTTAATATATTTATAGTTGGGGTTGTAAGAGAAGTAAATGCGAGGGTCTTGGCAAGAGGCGTGGAGTTAAAAGATAAAGAATCACACATAAAGTGGGAGTTGTCACAGTTGCTCTTTGCTGATGACACTGTGCTCTTGGGAGATTCTGAAGAGAAGTTGCAGAGATTGGTGGATGAATTTGGTAGGGTGTGCAAAAGAAGAAAATTAAAAGTGAATACAGGAAAGAGTAAGGTTATGAGGATAACAAAAAGATTAGGTGATGAAAGATTGGATATCAGATTGGAGGGAGAGAATATGGAGGAGGTGAATGTGTTCAGATATTTGGAAGTGGACATGTCAGCGGATGGGTCTATGAAAGATGAGGTGAATCATAGAATTGATGAGGGGAAAAGGGTGAGTGGTGCACTTAGGAGTCTGTGGAGACAAAGAACTTTGTCCTTGGAGGCAAAGAGGGGAATGTATGAGAGTATAGTTTTACCAACGCTCTTATATGGGTGTGAAGCATGGGTGATGAATGTTGCAGCGAGGAGAAGGCTGGAGGCAGTGGAGATGTCATGTCTGAGGGCAATGTGTGGTGTGAATATAATGCAGAGAATTCGTAGTTTGGAAGTTAGGAGGTGTGGGATTACCAAAACTGTTGTCCAGAGGGCTGAGGAAGGTTGTTGAGGTGGTTCAGACATGTAGAGAGAATGGAGCGAAACAGAATGACTTCAAGAGTGTATCAGTCTGTAGTGGAAGGAAGGCGGGATAGGGTCGGCCTAGGAAAAGTTGGGGGAGGGGGTAAAGGAGGTTTTGTGTGCGAGGGGCTTGGACTTCCAGCAGGCATGCGTGAGCGTGTTTGATAGGAGTGAATGGAGACAAATGGTTTTTAATACTTGATGTGCTGTTGGAGTGTGAGCAAAGTAACATTTATGAAGGGGTTTAGGGAAACCGGCAGGCTGGACTTGAGTCCTGGAGATGGGAAGTACAGTGCCTGCACTCTGAAGGAGGGGTGTTAATGTTACAGTTTAAAAAACTGTAGTGTAAAGCACCCTTCTGGCAAGACAGTGATGGAGTGAATGATGGTGAAAGTTTTTCTTTTTCGGGCCACCCTGCCTTGGTGGGAATCGGCCAGTGTGATAATAAATAAAAAAAATTTATTATATTATCACATTGGCCGATTCCCACCAAGGCAGGGTGGCCCGAAAAAGAAAAACTTTCACCATCATTCACTCCATCAATGTCTTGCCAGAGGGTGCTTTACACTACAGTTTTTAAACTGCAACATTAACACCCCTCCTTCAGAATGCAGGCACTGTACTTCCCATCTCCAGGACTCAAGTCCGGCCTGTCGGTTCCCCTGAACCCCTTCATAAATGTTACTTTGTTCACACTCCAACAGTACGTCAAGTATTAAAAACCATTTGTCTCCATTCACTCCTATCAAACACGCTCACGCATGCCTGCTGGAAGTCCAAGCCCCTCGCACACGAAACCTCCTTTACCCCCTCCCTTCAACTTTTCCTAGGCCGACCCCTACCCCGCCTTCCTTCCACAACAGACTGATACACTCTTGAAGTCATTCTGTTTCGCTCCATTCTCTCTACATGTCTGAACCACCTCAACAACCCTTCCTCAGCCCTCTGGACAACAGTTTTGGTAATCCCGCACCTCCTCCAAACTTCCAAACTACGAATTCTCTGCATTATATTCACACCACACATTGCCCTCAGACATGACATCTCCACTGCCTCCAGCCTTCTCCTCACTGCAACATTCATCACCCATGCTTCACACCCATATAAGAGCGTTGGTAAAACTATACTCTCATACATTCCCCTCTTTGCCTCCAAGGACAAAGTTCTTTGTCTCCACAGACTCCTAAGTGCACCGCTCACCCTTTTCCCTCATCAATTCTATGATTCACCTCATCTTTCATAGACCCATCCGCTGACATGTCCACTCCGAAATATCTGAATACATTCACCTCCTCCATACTCTCTCGCTCCAATCTGATATCCAATCTTTCATCACCTAATCTTTCTGTTATCCTCATAACCTTACTCTTTCCTGCATTCACTTTTAATTTTCTTCTTTTGCATACCCTACCAAATTCATCCACCAACCTCTGCAACTTCTCTTCAGAATCTCCCAAGAGCACAGTGTCATCAGCAAAGAGCAACTGTGACAACTCCCACTTTATGTGTGATTCTTTATCTTTTAACTCCACGCCTCTTGCCAAGACCCTCGCATTTACTTCTCTTCTTCTTTTTCTTCATACCTGAGTATAATGAAGAGTTTGATATACAGATTCTGACACATACAATATTCGGCCTCTATCACAACCCACGACAAAAAGGAAACCATCCGCTGCCTGAAATATTAAAAAATTCTTTTAATGACCTGCAGCACAACAAAATTATAATCGAAAACAACAGCACCAAAATTTAAGAACATGATTTACAGTCTCAAATGCAGTTAACTTTGCAAAAATTTCTACAAATATTAGTTTATCAATTTTAATTTGCCTTTCCTGATGTCTACTGTGATTTTTATAAGAGTAAAAAAAACCCTCATCAATCCTAAAATTACATTTTTGTTCGTAACTTAACAGGCTAAATTAAAAAATCGCATTTAAAAAATTTAAAATTGTGTGAATTTAGACTAGGTTAGTACAGTGGCCCCCCGCATAACGAGGGGCATCACAAGCGATTTTTCCGCATACCCTTACTTTTATCGCAAAATTTTTGCCGCACTACCGATTAAAACCCGCTCACCGTTTTTTTCGCCGAGACGGTCCAATGTGCCCTCCATGTGCCCCCGCCCATTGTTTACCAGCCACCCCCCGCGGTAACATCCAAGATACACTCGGAATTTTTCGTATTATTCAGTGTTTTTCGGGCTGTTTCTGGAAAATAATGACCAGGGCCCCCCAAGAAAGCTTCTAGTGCCAACCCTTGGGGTTTAAAAAGGGTGAAAATTTAGTATGGAAATTAAAAAGATTTTAAAGGGGTTTGGGGGCTAACCCTGAGAACCCCCTATGCCATTGGGAACCATTGTGCCTACTTTCAAAGTTTAAAGGGAATGTGTGCACATGGGTTGAACTGCAAAACCTTTATAGAAAAAATCACCCTGACACAGCTTTGAAAACCGTGCTGGTGACTATTTAAATGAAAAATGTTGTGGCCCATTTTAGACAAATCGTAAAGGAAGGGGGAGGTACAGAGCCTAGGGACAGTTTTGTTGTGCGACAGAGGCCATGCTCTCAAGTGGCCCTAGTGGCATTAAAAGAAGAAGGGAAGAAACCCCCGGGAAAAGGACTTTGCTCCCTCAAGTCGTAAGGGAAAGGGGGGATTCCCCTTCAAACAGTAAGAAGATTGCTCTCCCCCTCCCCCTCCCATCAATACACCAGATCTTTCAATAAAGAAGTGTCAGTAATGTGCATGCCTTTTTCAGTTTGTGTGTATTAAAATTAACATTTCATGGGAAAAAAAAAAATTTTTTCAACTTTTGGGCGTCTTGCACATTAATTTTACTTCCATTATTTCTTGGGGGGAAAATTCTTTCGCATAACGATTATTTCGCATAACAATTTTCCCTTTCCGGATTAAAATCGTTAACCGGGGGGTCCACTGTATCTTTTTAAAGGGGGGCTCCAAAAAAGACAACTAGTACCAACATCCTCACTCTAAATCTTTTTAAAATTTTTTTTTTTTTTTTTTTTTTTTTTTTTTTTTTTTTTCAAATTTTTTTTTGGGTATTCGGGTGCTAGTTTCGAAACCAGCCCTTAATTAATATTCCCATTAAAAAGCTTCATTTTGGGTACAAACGATTATTTCGAAGAAGACCATTAATAAATTTAATCAAAACCATTAAAAAATCTTAATGGTCCCTCATATTCCGGGTACTAATTTCGGCTTTTAAAAAATTCCAAAAAAATTTTCCAGGTCACCATATCAACCCGCGATACTGTTTTTTGGTGCTACTTGTTGTGTAATTATTCCAATTTTTTTTTTTCCATTTATTGTTATAACTTGTCACTTTCGCCCCGGCTATGGGTTTCCAACGAATAAAAGAAGCTTTTTTGTTGTGTAGAGCACTACACCATACATTGTCCATAAAACAAAGGGGCTTTGAAGCCCTGTCGGCCCATGACTCAGCTACCAATAAACCCTGATAAAAGTTCAAAGTAAACAAATGACGACCACTAATCTGTCCAATCACCATCTTTAAACGTGGCCACAAAAAGGGGGTGACATTATTTTACAATTTCATTTATTACAATAAGCAATCTCCATAACAGTAAATCCCCCATTTGTCGGGAGGGTTTGTTTTGGGGATGTGATGGGGTTTGGAATTAAAAACACTTGTTTGGGTGGTAACATTTATTACGAGTTGAGGGGAGAGGCCCAGCCCCGCCCGTGTTGCCTGTCGTAGACTTTAAAGGGAAGAACTGAGGAGTTACAGGGATTTTCCCTGCAACATGCGCTCATGTGAGTCACACATGCTAGTCGCGAGCCCACTGAAAGGGACCTAACTAAATACATATGATACGACTACAATTAAATACACAAAATAAAGTATGGGAAATTCTAGCTAACTGAAATTTTTTGTGTGAAAACAATTTAAAATGGAACAAAGAAAAAAAAGAGGGGGCCCGGAACATGACTAATGAAAGAGAAAAAGTTATTTTAGTGCCAGGAATGTCTGCATTTTTTTTCTGGACTCTATTTTTTGGGAAAATTTGGGTCTTTTGAAATTTGTGTGGAATTGGCCAAATTACTGATTTCTGACCACTTTATTGGGTAGTTGAAATAGGTGAATGGGCGGTTTCTTGTACTCAATCGACAGAATAGAAGGAATACTAGTGAAACAGCTGAGTTTGGTAGACTGGAACAACGAAACGGACCAAAAATAGGGCATAAAGTGCGTGAAATCACTGATGTGTAAATATCGCCACTGGTTAAGTGTACTCTAACCTAACCATTCCGTAATCTGGCAAAATCACTAATCCAGCGCCCTACAGGTCCTGATGATGCCAGATTAGTGATGGCTAACCTGTACGATGATTCCACCTACGCAGTTTTATTTCTCTAAGTCAAAAACTAAATGCTTGACCTCTTGGCTACTGTATATATATAAACAGAAGTTAATCATCAACAAACAAATTACTAAACATTAGGCAGTGGGATAAACACTGCAGTCACTTAAATACTCTTCCACTACTATTTCCACTTCCTTCTTTCTTCCTCCTCTCTTCATTGCATCCCTCCCCTTCTCATGTATACATGTATATACTGGCTCTCTTACCTGCATGTGTTAGTGTGTGACTAGTCAATGGTTCATGTGGGACCAAAACAACATAAGTTTCTTTCTCCTATGTGTGGGTGATTTGTGTACTTAAATACTCTGGTTGGAAACAACCTCATTATGTACAGCGTAAGGTTGGCCTGATTAAATACAACAAAATTAAATAATATTTTTCTTTTCAAACATTGGCTATCTCCCACCAAGGCAAGGTGACCCAATCATTCATACTACAGTATCACGGTCTTTGCAGAGGTCGCGCAGATACGACAGTTTAGACATCACTCTAAAAAGCAAATGTCCCAAACCCCTCCTTTAACCCTTAAACTGTCCAAACGTAGATCTACGTTCACTCACGTAGCACTCCAAATATTTTGAAAAATTTTTTTTTTTTTTTAAATGAAGAGCACATTTTTCTACATGTTATAGGATTAAAAAAAAATTAGGGTCAGTACTTACCGAGATATAAGACCACGAAGTTGGCTCTGGATGCTCACCTGATGGCAACAATCGAATCATGCCAGTTTGCAGAAGTGTTGTCATATACCTTTTTTAGTCCTTTTTATTTTAATTTATATATTTTTTATGTTCTGATAATTACAATTTATAATAGTTCTTGTGATTTCATAGCCAATCTTTGTTCTGACACTAATATTAGGTACTGAAATAGTACTCAAATAGTCACAATCACATTGACAGGTGAACATTTTCACCTGCCTGGGTCATTTACTATTGTTTAGAAACATATACAAAGTATTTACAGGTCCCAGCAATGTTTTAAACACGCTGGAGTATACCTTGAAGCATAGTGTTATGAAAAGCAACTCTATACTGTTGACAGCCCAGTGACATTTGATAAATGTGCACTGCTCCAGTTAACCCTCCTGTATTTGTTATCACTGTTACACATAAACATGTCTTGTCTGTCTGTCTATCTGTCTGTCTGTCTGCCTGTCTGTCTCTCCTTATCTGTCTTTCTGTCTCCCTGTGTGTGCCTGGAGTATATATCAAACTCCTTGAAGAATGGTGTTATGACAACTGTTAACAGCTCAGTGACATTTGATAAATGGGCACTGGAGGAACCCTAGCTTTACTTGTTTTCACTGATACACACAAACATGTTTGCCTGTCTGTATCTATCTGTCTGTCTGTCTGTCTATCTTTGCCTGGAAATTTTGGGTTATCCTAGGTAATTTACACTATGTATAACTGTACTTATGTGTACATGTGAGAATCAGTATATTGACATTAAGAGGGACATTAAAAAGGGGATAAGAAAAGCTAAAAGGGACTATGAAATTAAAGTTGCTAGGGATTCTAAAACTAACCCAAAAAGTTTTTTCCAGGTCTATGGAACAAAAGTTAGAGATAAGATAGGTCCCCTTAAAAATAACTATGGGCACCTTACTGACAAAGAGAATGAAATGTGCTCGATTTTAAATAATTATTTTCTCTCAGTTTTTACACAGGAAGACACTAACAATATTCCAGTAATTAATTTTTACAGTGGGCTAGAAGAAGATAAATTATGTAACATCACAGTCACTAGTGAGATGGTTGTGAAGCAGATAGACAGACTGAAGCAAAATAATGTCGCTCGGGTCCTGATGAGGTTTTTTCAAGGGTTCTTAAGGAATGCAAAATGGAACTCTGTGAACCATTAACTAATATTTTTAATTTATCTCTTCAAACAGGTGTAGTGTCTGATATGTGGAAGATGGCTAATGTAATTCCTATTTTTAAAACAGGGGACAAGTCGTTACCGTCAAATTACCGCCCAATAAGCCTGACCTAATTGTAGGCAAATTCTAGAGTCACTTATAGCTGAGATTATAAGAAGCCATCTCGATAAGCATAGCTCTGATTAATGATACTCAGCATGGATTCACAGAGGCTGGTCTTGTCTAACTAATTTATTAACTTTCTTCAGTAAAGCTTTTGAGGCTGTTGACCACAATAAAGAATTTGATATTATTTACTTAGATTTTAGTAAGGCTTTTGATAGAGTTCCACACCATAGACTGTTAAAGAAAGTGGCAGCTCATGGCATTGGGGGAAAAGTGCTCT